AGGCACACATAGACTACTTTCAAATAGCCTTGCGTTATACGCATAATGAACAGTCCGATACACATCTTGTACGGCGCGATACCAATTGAAGTGCGCAACCGCTCAACAATAACAGCAGGAAGAATCGCGGATTATAGTTTACGTAATTCGTTGGATTATTACAGTGATGAAAGCCGACGCTGGCACTGCCGACCTGGACGTAACAGCGACGAGCCCATCGGGCCAGGAGATCCCGTTGCAAATCACTCCACTTAATGACGGCGCCGAGATGATCGAGTTCTCGCCCAGTGTGCCCGGCACCTACATGATCAATGTTACTTATGGTAAGAAACTTTTAACTCTTGGAAAAATGACGGTGGGTCATTTTCGTTTATTGAACCCACTCAAGTATATTCTTTAAATTACATCTGTAAATTTAAATTATTGTTATTAAATTAAACTTAAGCTGGTATTCATAGTTGGTTCCTATATTTAAAATTCTTAAGTATAGAAATTCTGTCTTAAAGCTAGAAATATCTCATCTTAAAGATTTCATACGCCAATTACAAAATCATATAGTCGTTATTTAAAAGACAATCTTAAAATAAGAACGGACTATGAATACTGGTTTTAGAATTTATATCTTTTATACTTGAATTATGGTATTGGCGTTTTGATTATTTGAAATTAATATACTTTTTAATTAATATAAATTAAATGAGTCTCACAGATCCAGTGTCAATAGCTATTACAGATTTTGACGTCACCTTCAAAGGGTTCATTTTAAGAAAGAAATCTCTTGTATTCTTTGTATTTTATTATATTTATAATTGTTGCCGATAGGCGGATGTTCTGTGCCTGGTACTCCAGTGGTATGCACTGTCGACGCAGTCGGGCAGGCTCGCGCGAAAGGTGAAGGATTGTTGAGCGGTCATGTGGGTAAACCGGCACATTTTATTGTCACCGGCACGAGAAGTCCGCCGGCAGTTCAGGTATTTTCGTGCAACTAAGTGAGAAAGTTGCTTCGTCAAGTTATGCGTGGGATGTACGTGGTATTCTTTTTTAATTAAACTGTATGGATCGTAGGTTGATGGACCGGATAGTGTTTCTAAAGCCACCATTGAAGCTGGAGCCAATCCCGGTACGTGGAACGTGTCTTATATACCGAATGAAGTTGGAGTGTTCGACGTAAGGGTCGTCTCTGCCGGGCAACAGTTGCCGGGATCTCCGTGGCATCCAAAGATCATCGACACGCGGAATCTTCGAGTCATTGGTGAATAATTCAAATATCATTTAACCTTTAAATGTCTTGTTAGGGGAACAACACATTAACCATTTCACTGGTAATGTATCATATGTGTACAAAAAAAAAAGTGCCACGACTGGTAATGTATCATATATGTACATCTTTACATAACTTCCACAATTTTCAACGAATTCGCATAAAATTTGGTATATTATAGTTTTTTAGATCGCTGAATACGAATCTGATGTCACAATTTCAAAATTCAAAATGGCGGATCCAAGATGGCGGACCGAAATTCAAAAAGTTACTTGATCTAACTGAAATTTGTTACTCGGGGGTTTTTGGGGTCGCTTGAATGAATCACTTGAAATTTATTTGAAATCATGTTCCGATAAACACATTTTTTTGTGAAAAATGATGTTTTCAATAATGTTTTATTTCGTCTGCCATATTGGATCCACCATTTTGAATATAGAAATTCTGAGTTCATATTCGTATTCAGCGACCCCGAAAACCCCCTAGTCAACATTTTCATCGAAATTGGATGAAAATAAAATGTATGCTTCAAAGGTTTAAACGTGCCCCCTTGGGGTTTGGGAGGGGCTGTTGGGGGTTAGGGGGCGGGGGTAGGTGAGTTTTCTTTATGCCAAACGATATGTTTTATGAAAAAATGGAACCCGTGTTTCACAGTTTCTTGATATTTTAGAAACTGGCTCGTACCAGTTTTGGCACTTTTTATTTGAAAACGGCTACCAGTGAAGTGGTTAATGTATTTGATTACTTATAACTTTCATTAAAATAAACATATTGTGAAAAATTTGTTTTTTTAATTAAAACATTAGACATTAAGGAATATAATGGAATGAAACAAATGTATGTATCTTTATTATTAAGAAAGTTATGTGAAAAAAGTTGGATATGTCATATCTAAAAAGTGTTTAAGGATTAGCAGCAAGTGGTATTTCTATTGAGCTTACAATAAGTATATGCGCAATAATTGTAGGTGGCTGGTCTGCTGTATGTGACGAGATTGGTCGCTTGAAATTGCATCCGTCGAACAAAATCAGCTTTGACACCGCCGAGGCTGGACCCGGTGAAATCAGTGGAAGCGTTGGTGATCATCCTCTCAACTTTGAAATGACGTCTAGCAACAGGTTGAAGCTCGTTCCACCACAAATGAGCAGTGGCGAACATCGTCTAGAGATACTATTCAACAGCACACCTTTTCCTGGTGCACCGAAGCTCGCACTCGTGCAGGATTTGGAGGTTTCTTATCAATAATTTTGAGTTTAATTTTAAGGCCCATTTTCGTAATATATAATTTCTTAAAAATTAAAATCATTTAAGATTAAATGCGCTTTCATCTAAATACATATTTTACAATCATTGTAAATCTTCCTAGCCGCCTATGCAGGATACGAGTCGAGTGTTACTAAAAGGACGAGGATTAACGTCAGCCAAATGCGGTGAAGAAGTCAGTTTTACCATAGATGGTTCTCAAGCCGGCAACGGAACCCCAAAAGTGCAATTATTTTCACCAACCAGTGAACTTAATGTCATGTTACAACATCTAGGTAAGAAAAAAAGACAAGCTAAACTGCAGATAGAAATAAAAGGCGACTCTAAATATTTTTTGTGTATAAAACAGGAGATAGCGTTTATCGTGCAAGTTATATACCGCTAACGCCGGATCCGCTCTTGATGACCGTATCGTGGAATGGAAGACAATTAAAAGGTTGTCCATTGCAAATTAATGTTACGAGCGCTGCTGATGCGTCTAGAGTTATCTGTTCCGGAGACGGGTTAAAGCACGGTATCGTCGGACAAGAAATCAGAAGTTTTATCGATACCAGAAGAGCAGGACCAGGTAAAGACTCGTTTCATGCTTGTGATAAATAGTTATTTTGACATCTCTTTCTTTAATCGAGAACTTGTTTTACAGGTGAATTAACGGCACACTGCGTTGGGCCGCATAAAGTAGCATACTGCGAGCTATACGATCACGGCGATGCTACCTTCACGTTAAATGTGAAACCTCAAGAGGCGGGACGACACGCACTAACGATCAAATACGCTGGAGAACATGTTCCCGGTTCTCCATTCACGTTACGCGTCTCCGGAGCTCCAGACGCTTCAAAGGTATCTAATATTGAACACATTGCAATTTTTATTGCAAGTAATAAAAATTCTCAATATTCCAATAAGTAGAGCCTTAGCTATAAATATAAAGCACCATTCATTTATTGCACTTTCTTAGAAAAAATAATAAAAACCAAAGACTAACTATAACAAAATATTAATTATATAAACCGAATGAGAACAATGCTGCAGTGATCTAAGCTGGATCACGGGCGCTTCCATATAATTGCTTGTGAATTTATATACTACGTATGTAAATCTTTGATTACGCGCCGAAATATTTTCAGACTTAAAACGCAACATTAATAAACTACCGCAGTATCACGAGTTAAATTGACTAACAATTTAACGATTTTTGATACTGTTTATGCATCTTATATATCGATCTTGATAATGATGAATAATCTATTAAAATCTGTAAATAATTCTTTATTGCGAAAAATATTATCTCGACCGGAAGTCGAATCCAGATCTCTAGCATTCTGTGCGAGCGTTCTAATCCTAGACTACCGGCATTGTTCTCGTTCGGTTTGAATTCTCGCGATTCAATAAAAATTGATATCGGTTAATTATATAGTTATAAAAATAAATATTTTTCAAAATATATTAAAACTTTTTTGTTAGACATAAAACGTTAATTTATGGGGGTATTTTATACTTATAAACCAAAACTAAAGAGCATAAAAATTTTTCAAGTTAAAATCTAGTGTTTTAATCATCAAGTTTGATGTTTAAAAACGAGATAAATTTTTCGGTTAATAAAATCATTAAGACGTTAAGATATTATGAGGTATATATTAACAAAATCAAATTTTAATTAAATTAATTGACACGTTCGAATTATTAGGTTCGCGTCTACGGGCCGGGTATTGAACATGGCGTGTTGGCGACTTTCCAATCGCGATTTATTTGCGACACGCGGGGCGCCGGTGCCGGTCAACTCACAGTAAGAGTACGCGGACCTAAGGGAGCATTCAGGGTAGAGATGCAGCGAGAGACTCAAAAGGACCGAATCATTCTCTGTCGGTATGATCCGACGGAACCCGGAGACTACAGAGTGGAGGTTCGTTGGGCTGGTGTCTTGGTACCAGGTTCTCCGTTCCCCGTTAAAATTGTCGATACACAAGACGAATTACTAATGCTCACACAGGTAAAGGTTAATTATAATTATCCTGTATGTATATGTATGTAAAGATTAATGTAATTAATGAGAATTGCAATTAATTACAACAATTTAAACAAAATACGTAATTAAGTGTTTATTATAAATCATCATATTTACATATATTCTTAAACTATGTAAATTAATTATATGTAGTGAATATTGTACAAACGGTATTAAAATTGATGTAATGTATAGATAAAATATGGAATTTCAGGGTGGAGATAATTATTCGACAGGCCATCATACTATCACATCGTGGCGTGGATCGCAAGCTATATTGTAGAAACGCCACGGCTAACATTGTTATTATATTTTGTATGGACTAATATATTCGATAATATATGATAATAATTGTAACTTATGTGCAAAAGTTTCCAATAAATCTCAACATTCCGATTAAGTATGCATACATTTATTTTCAGTTTTTCGAAGTACACGTTTGTACATGAAAAAAAATATACAGTTTCTCTCTAAATTGTTTAAAATATCAATCTTTATTCTACCTCAGAAGCCTTAGCGACTGTTTTTCTTTTCCTGCTTACTGAGATACTTGTAGATATTCTTCTTCATCTTCTTTTGCTTGCACAATTTCTTGGCTTCCTCCTCTTTGATTCGCGTCTGATACGCTGTTATTCTCTTCGTCATAGTCTCCTTCTCCTGCTTCTGCTTTTGCGCATAATTCGTTCTGATCATCTTTATTATACGCGCGATGTTCTGTTCTTTTGGTTCGCGTACCACGGCAACTCGGCCTTGCTTAAACTTGGGCTTCCGTAAATGCGGCACGGACTCAAGTTTGGGTTTGTCCCTGTATGGGAGCTCCTTCTGCAATTTACGCGGAATGAACAGCGGTTTAAATACCTTGACGTCTCGCTGGATCGATGTATACATCGAGTTTGTATTAGCTTCGGCGTGGATATTCCTTTCTCGCTTTAGTTGGCCCGTAGTCTTCATACCGTGCCATCGACTTTTTTCCGCGGGCGGCAGCAGCAACGACGTCACCGGATTGTAGAAGCGCGACACATCGACCTTATACCAAGTCCTACAAAATACTATATCGCTTAACATGATCTTGTCCTCGAATGTGGCGCGGAAGCAGCCCTCTGGCTTGGAGATTGCTTTCTTGATTTGGCCGCGAATACCTGAGACTGTCTTAATTCGGGCACCCTCGAACTTAGCGACCTCGAGGGCGCTGTTGAACATGTCCTTAATGAACGCTGTCTTGCGGTGAATCTTCATCGGTACACCAATTAGCTTAAGTTTCTTCATTATTTCCGTACTCTTGCTCAACTCCACAATCGAACCAGTCGCTGCGATACGGAAACCAGGTTCTTTACTCGCGACGTCCTGCACCGCCAGAACTCCGGTACCCTGTGGCGTAATCGGACCCCAAAGATGGCCCATGCATGCCACATGCTCTGGCGTATACTTCAACATTCGATGACGTAAATTGTCCTCCAATTTGGAATAAATTGGCAGCGACTGGAATCTACGCCAACCTATGGAGAATATAAGTGGATCGCGACTCTTCAAGATCCTTGAATACCACCGGTGCTTCTTGATCCGCGTTTGTACGTAACCGATATTCTCCTCACCATGCAACAAACCGCCAATGATAATCGGATACGTCGGGTCGAAATGCGTAATTAGCTCGCAAGGCACCGCCTCGATCTCCACGCGAATATACATGCCGGGGCGATAGCCTTCCAATTGGACCCTGATATCATCGTCCAGCCCTTCAAACTCTGACTTGTTGATGCCAGCTTGTCTCTCTACCTCGTCCTTCAGCTCATCATAATAAGTTTTCTTTTCCGTATTGTCGTATTCCGCGTTAAATTGCTCCTTCAGCTTTTTCTTCTTTTCCAAGAGCTTCTTCTTCTCCTCTACCTCGTCCGTGGACAACTCCTTAGGATGCTCCGCTTTATGCTTTTCTCCGGTCTCTAGATCCTCAAAATCACCATATAGATCCTCGTCGTCCAACTTCAAAAGCTCCTCGGCGTCCTCCGATTCCTTCCATTTGCCCGTAACAAAACGGTTAATCAACAACGCTTTGTTCTCCTCTTCCAGCCAATTGCGCGGGATGTCCATCGTGAAGAATACAGACTCCTCCTGATTCTGCAATTCTCGCTCTTGTATCTTCTGCTTCTGTTGTTCTTGAACTATACGGAATATTCCACCAATATCCTGATCAAGCTTCTCATCTGCTTTATCCTGCTCTTCAATCATATTATTTTTGTCGAATACTCCATAAACAATCTTCATCAAGTTTTTGTTGTTTTGCTGACGATTTATGAAAGATTCTCTCGCCTTCTCTGTTAAATTCCTTTTCCACTTAAATTCATCCGGAACTTCTTCGCTCTCATCCATCTTGATATCTCCTTTCTCTTCTTCTATGTCTTCTTCGGATGCAATGTTTTCGAAATCGCTGGATCGATCTGCATCGTTCATTTCTAAACCCGCGCGCGAGTCTTCGTCGCTGAGCTCGTCGAAACTTTCGTCGTCACCGTCCTGCTTCACGTTTTTCTTTGTTGCCTCCAAAAAACTCAATGCTTCCGAGATCTTATTTTTTATTAGTTTATCTGATTCTTTACTCAGCGAATGATACACTCCTCCATTTTCTTGAGAAGCATCCATCTTTTTATTATTTGTTAACTCAGATTCATCAAGATCTACATCATCATTTTCAATAGTTGAATTAACCAAGATTTTCATCTTTTTCTTTTGTGTGTTGCTTTCGTCTGTGCTTTTTCTCTTAACGCTCTTTTCAGTTTTTTCTGAAGTTTTTACGTCGCTCCATTCATCATCATCATCATCATCACCATTCTCATCCATTTTACAATCATTATTATCAATATCATTATTTTCGTCATCTTCGTTGTTTTCGTCATCTTCATCATCACCTTTATTCAAGGCATTTTCTACATCCGCCTCATCTTTAAATATCACTTTTCGTCGAACTCTTCCGTTCTCTGTCACCAATTCACCCGTATAAGGAGTCATTATTTCGTTCACATCTTGTGACTTTATCGGTGCAGCATCGCTGAATAGTTTCAACTCGCTGTGTTGCAGTTTTTGGTCTAGCGTCTCTTGCGTATCCATTAAAGCGCCAGCCAAACCTGTGTCTTCTTCTTTGTAAGAATGACTGCCGCCCAGTTCTACATAAACGGCATCCTTATCATAAACTATGCCACCGACTCCAGAAAACGGCGCATAAATCAGCCGTTCCTTCTCCACTAGAGCTCGCTTCTTAATATGTTCCGGAAGTGGACATGGATCTGGCAAAAAGTTCACATCTTTGATTTTCATGTCTCCACAGCCGGGTATATGAATGGATGTATCTTTGTTCAAATTTATTCCTCTAACATATCTGGAAACAAATTCAGCCAGTTATTAAAAAGTATATAAAATTTTTATAGATGAAATTTCAATTAACTTTAAAATACAAGGTAGACAAAATAATATGAACACCTAAGAAATACTATTATTTATTTTGCTTTATTAATAAAAGGTTGGCCCATCATAAGCTTTAGAACGAAAAATAAGAACTAAAAATAAGCTTTTAATACATATATTAAAATAGTTATCAATGAAATGTACTTTCTCTCAGTAAAATATTTTTTAATTAAATATATAAATGATATTGGAGAAAAAAATTTTTTTCTCACTCTTTTTTCAAAGAAGACATTTTTCAAAATTGCCTTCTATCCATCCAAATCACTTGATTTACATATCATTTGTAGTTTTGAAGATTAGAATGAGAATTTTCCCTTTAATATCTTTTAAGTAATTAAAAGATGAAGGGTGTCTCAAAATGATCTGACATTTTAAATTGCGTGCCATTTTTTTTTAAGCGAACGTAACGTACTAACCTTTAGCAACTGGCATCAGGAAGCATTGAGGTTTAGTCATGGAGAATTACACGATGGAGCAACGCATAGAAATTGCGAAAATCCACTACAAATATGATGAAAATTTTGCAGAGACGGTTCGAAAAGTCCGCACGTCTTTTGGTCATCATAACGCACCATCTCGCAATACTGTGGTGAATTTAATAAAAAAATTTGAAGTTAGTGGCTCACTTTTAACCGCGAAAAGCAGTGGACGTCCTCGTACTGGTCGGTCAAATGAAAACATAGCCGCAGTGAGTGCGAGTGTTGACGAAAGTCCTTCCACCTCGAATTTGTGACATGATAACCAACTTCTTATGGAAAGAATTGAACGGCATAGACTTGGAAGACATATTCTTTCAACAAGATGGTGCAACCTGCCACACTGCGGACGAAACAATGCAGTTATTGCAGACGAAGTTTCATGGTCGTGTTATTTCGCGCCGCGGCGATGTGAATTGGCCACCAAGATCGTGCGATTTGACGCCATTGGACTTCTTTCTTTGGGGTTTTCTGAAAGGAAAAGTGTATGCCAATGATCCACAGACCATTCCGGAGGTGAAGGAAGAAATTAGACGTACCATTAATGAAATTAGTCCGCAATTATGCCAAAATGTAATTGAAAATTTTGTCGAAAGAATGAACGTTTGCAGAGTCGAGGCGGCCATTTATCGGATATTGTGTTCCACATATAACCTCCATGTTTGTATTTTATATTAAACTAAAAACATGTGTACTTTTCAAATAAATAATATGTTTTATTAATAAATTAAAATGTCAGATCATTTTGAGACACCCTTTAATATAACATAAGGCCCAATATGTATAAAACAATAGGAGTAATAATAAGGGCAATGAACCAAATACTGAACGCATGAGAAATTCAAAAAATAAGTATAATATAACAATTTCTAACAAGGTAACTATCTCCAATTATTACCACTTGTTTAACATGTTATTTAAGATTCTTATAATAGATTATATAAATTTCACTAGATTAAATTTTCTGTTATATTGGATTAACTTTTACATGGTGGACTACAATTTCAAGATGCGAATAATTTCCTGACAATACTTTTATTTATTGGCGATACCGAAATGTTATAATTTATAATTTTGTTACATTGAAGATGACCCGATCGGAGTCAAAACGTTTGTAATTAATTTTTATATTATACTTATTTTGAATTTCTCATGCGTTCAGTATTTGGCTCATTGCCCTTATTATTACTCCTACTTAAAAGATGTTCTTCTAGAAGAGAACGGTATAATATTACACTGTAGTAATTGCTACTATATTAATTAAGCATGTATGACTTCATTCTAACAAAGATAGAATCTGTATTAAAACCAAATGATAAGCCAACTTTTTATTAAGAAAACTTTTTATTAATAATAGATAGTATTTTTCAGGTGTCCACATTATTTTCTTTACCTCCTACAGATTTCAAGCGCAATTATTTGAAAGTATAACTCGAAATGAAAAACTCAATTATTTCACACATACCCATACAAACTGATATTTCTGTCAACCTTTGGATTCTTCCTGATCAGCTCTTGCGGCGTCAAGTCTTCCAATCTATCAGCGAGTAAATAGGGATGGCTAGTACGCCAAGTCAAAGGCCTGAACTTCATGACTGATATGAATCGTGCCAGATTCTTTATCTCCATGCGGAGATACTCTTCGTGTAGTAATCCAGAGAGATAGAACAATTTTGCACCAGCAAACACCTCTGTCCAGAAGCGTTGCTTCAATGTCTTCTTGATTTTCCTCATTTGTCTCGCGTTCTTTATAAGATCCAAATGAGTAAGAACCCCCATAATTCTGGGCATACCGTGCACCTGGCATATATTCAAAAATTCAAAGATCTCCATCTCAAATCCAAAGGAGGCATCCACCAGCAGCAGCACCAGATCTGCTACCTTGGCAATATCAATCATACAGTTCACATCATTATTGCATTCTATGAAGGTGATCCTTCGTTTCTTGCCTGATACAATAGTGACAGGACCAAGTATGTTGGTCAATGGTTGTTTGACATAGCTCTTGATCAAGCATTGAATGACCAGCGACTTTCCCACTTTTGGCGGACCAACCACGGCTACCAAAATTGGCGGTGGCTCCAAAGGTGTTCTGTCGACAAGAGGTATATGCTGCTTCTTGGTTTCGATATCCTGTTTCCGTCTAAACCTCCTTTCTGCTCTGATCGCAGAATTGAAAGTAAATGCTTTTGGGTTCCTCTGCTTGTCTGACAGTTCCTGAATATGTTCCTTCTTGGCCTTTTTCTTCTCCGCTTTACGGCCCGCATTGCGGTTTCTGTGACTCTTGTGCTTCACTGTATCATCCATCGTAGTTGACATACTGGCGTCTTCTTCCTTTCTCGCTCTCTTCTATTAGTAATAATTAAAAGTCAATAATGTATTATTGAAATAATGAAATATATACTGTACGTCAACAAATTTCTAACCTAATATCACCAATATGTAAGAAATCTCTGGTCTTCGTTCTTCTTCTTCTTTAATTAATGGCTCACGCCTCCGAATATAATAGGAGGTCGATACGGCCAGATCACGCCAATTTTTAATGACTTTAGGAAAAAGGGTGAAAATCTAAGATGAAAATGAGATATAAATTAATGCAAACTGGTGCGCTAACCTGGAGCATCACAGAAGTGGAGCATATTGCTCCGGCAGAGAACCTCGCGACCACAGTATATACAGTCACAGTATATACAGTAGCGCAACTCTCTGTCGGCACCTTTGATGTTAGTGAAGCCTAAAATGGAGTGCGCATGCGCGGCCGAGGCGCGTAACCAATCAGGACACTGTATTTTATCTCACTTCTGCTCTCTGTTTATAACCTTTTCTCTCTTTCTAATTTATGGTCTAGCAATGTCCTAACCTAATTTGCACATTTGAACATTTAATACGCGTACTAACAAGTAACTTTTATAAAATTATCTTAATTTATTCCATTATTCACAGCGAATACAGAAATCTATAGTTCTCGTTTACACTATATAGATATTTAATACTCACAGTGAAAAACGAGACGCATTTGAAAGAGAAAATAAAATAAAAATTAAACATATATAATACACATTTATTTTATAATACTATATTTTGCAATTAAATATACCCACAAAATATATTATTATTAACTAATTGTACAGCAATATTGTATGTATAGCATATATCTTGTGTATACAATATAATATATACGCAATTAGAACAGAAAGTCACAATAAAGTCAAAATGACATTAGAATGATTGAAAAATGACTTTTAATGATCATTTTGGAACAATTTTAACATCATTTTGATACAATGATGACTTGTTTTGTTTGGATATATAATTAATGTGGTATTT